TATAATGTATTTTTTTTCATGACTTTTCGTTTAAATCCTCTGGAATTTTTAACTCATATGAATTTGATGTGGCAGCGCCCTCCAAAACTATCTATTGGCCCTCCTCATCCAGATCCTGTTGTGGAGACATCTTCTTTATCGGCAGTGCAGCCACCAGAGCCCACATATGATCTAAGAATCAAGGATGATTTGGGAAGTTCAAAGGCTTTGTCATGCTTGCAGATTGAGACTTTGGTTTATGCTTGTCAGGTCTCTTTTATGACAGAAATATGGTTAACAATTGTAAACCCATTGCATCTGTTGTAACCTATTTTTTATATCCTTGATAGAGACATCTGCAGCACCTGCCAAGTGGTACTAGGGCAGGATTCTTTGTTGGAGATGGAGCTGGTGTTGGTAAAGGTCGAACAATTGCGGGGTTAATATGGGAGAATTGGCACCATGCAAGGAGGAAAGCAATGTATGTTTTATGTTGCAACATGTGTAGGCATGAATTTTGCTTCCATTATAGCTTTTACTGCATGTTGGATATACCGCAATTTGTTTTGCGTACACTAACATATTTCTTTCTTGTTTTCTCTATGATGATCTTACGAAGATGGATTTCTGTTGGTTCTGATCTGAAGTTCGATGCGAGGAGAGACTTGGAGGATGTTGGAGCAGCATGCATTGAAGGTAAATACCTAAAATATAGAAATATTATAGAAGCTAATGCACATTTTAGTTGCTCTCTTCTTGAATGTATCTGTTAAAAACCTTGGGTGCTCATTTTGTAATAATGCTTATGACATTCATACGAAATGAATGGACGGGTTTAACAGATGTAAATGCTTTCTTACTATTGTCGATATTTTTCTTCCTTTGGAATTTAGAAAGAAATTGCTTAATTTTCCCCCTTTCAGATAATCGTTATGCTTGTGTGCCTATGCTTTTCTGTATCAGTATTATTTTTAAAAAAATTATTCTAATAACCTCTTATTTATTAATTTGATTTGCAAACTTACAAAAATGGTTGGTAATCATGATCCTAGCAAATCTATTGGAAAAGGGTATATAATTTACAAAATCACAACTTTCAGCGGTCAAGTTATTTTAATGTCGTGGGTATATTTAGTGGGAAGATCTAGAACATGTGTATATCTACACTATATGTGGAACTTGTTTGAAACTAAAATTATCTACTTAACTCTGTCTCTCTCACAACATATCAGCATAGTTATATGAAATTATTGTAGTCTCCAAGTGCTATTATTTTTTTCCCTTTATAAATTGAATAATCCTTTTCCATCAAGCAACTGTCTATGAGTATTTCCTCTTCTGGCTGTCTGCTTCCCGGTTGCAAGTTCTTTTGGTCAAAATACATTAGGTAGTTTGTATTTAGGGTTGCATGAATTGATTTTGTTTATGCGTTCATTATTTGGGGAGGGCATGCCATTCTTATATCAGGAACGAGCTATTGTACTGTGCAAGGACAATCAGCATTGCCAAATTAATGTTGTGTTTCAAAATGTTGTTGTTAAGAAAAAGAGAAAAAATAGCAGTGTTGTTGTACAAGTTGATTTATGCGAGATATGTAAATATCTTTTTCTTTATGCAGTTCATGCTTTGAACAAGTTGCCTTATTCAATGCTTGATTCGAGGTCTGTTGGGATCAATCAGGGAGTTGTATTTTTGACATATAGTAGTCTCATCGTGTCTTCTGAGAAAGCACGCTCTCGTCTGCAGCAGCTTGTGCAGTGGTGTGGATCAGGATTTGATGGGCTTATCATATTTGATGAGGTACACTATTTCTTTCTGAACTGCTACGAGATCTCCCTTGTTTCTTCATTAGTTTCTTTTGAAAATTTCTTTTGTTAATTGAATCATGAAATAGTGTTATGTGGTTTCAATATATTTCTCTATTTTTATTGCTAAGGGTAAATGGCTTCATTGTAGTGCCACAAAGCCAAAAACTTAGTGCCAGAAGGTGGAAGCCAGCCAACTCGCACAGGTGAAGCAGTTCTAGAAATTCAGGTTAGTGGTTTTTTTCCCCTTCTTCTTTTGGGGTGGTTGGGAGAAATAACAATGCTCATCCAAAAGCTAATTGAAACTAAACCATATATAACTAAATCCAAATGCACAATAAATTACAAAGTACTAAATATTACCTAAAACCCCTAATATTTGTTCAAGAAGTAGAATAATAAGTACTGAAAGATGAGATCAAGTGATCTAGAATAGCCTCAATATATTGAGTACAATTGAGCCGGTCAATATTAAAATAAAGATCCAGATAACTTAATTCCTCAACTACGTGTTTCAGTCTTTGTCTCCCTTAATCAGAGAACACTTCACTTTCAGTATTGGAAAACCAGGGTAGTTTGGATGGAAAATCAGTGTGTCATCTATCTTAAAAGTTACAACAAGGAGAAAGCGATAACCTAGGAATATAGAAGGAAAACTATAAATAGATAGAAGCTATTAAGGGGAAATGAGGAAATGAGGGGAGAAAACTATAAAGAATCAATATATGGAAAAAACACAATACCGTCTCAAAGTCTCAAATATTTATCATCCAAAACCGAAAGCTATGGAACTAAAGTAACATAATTGTTTTTTTAACTTGACCCAAAATCCTCTTAAAACACAAAATACCAAATATAACCCAAAAATCTTAATGTTTGGAAAAGAAGTGAATTACCAATCTATATAAAATAGCCTAAATATATGTAAATATGGTATAGTCAAACCCATAAATATGAAAGAATCCCTCAACTAACATGCTTCTCTCCACCAATGCTTTCTTTCCTTTGTTATCATCTTATGTATGTAGAGCTTCGCGAAAAAGCTTGGAGGCCACCATTGGTATTGAAATTGCTATAAAATTACTACAAGAGATGCTTTATGCTCCATGTTATTAGAAGGGAATATTATAAAAGAAAAATACAGCGGATGCTTTTGGCATATTGGTTTAAGACTACTAATAGATGGGCTACTTGAAATATTTGAAGTTATGCCCAACTATATGACGAAATTTTGGGTTATTTTGATTGGATAGGAGTCTAGGAGAAACAAATGTTCAGATTGTAATTCCACTATTTTATACATAGAAAAAGAAAATATGTAAAATATTTTTTGGGGGAAAGTGATGGTTGTGGCTTAGTGGTGTATATTATCTCGATTAAGTTTAGAGTTAGTTGTGACCTTAACTTGCATTAGGTCTTTTGTTTGCATTATTACTGATTCATTTTAGGTTAACACAATGTTGAAGTTTAGTTTATGTTATTAGTTTTTTTGTAGGCTTGTAGCCCATAATCACTGGCCACATTGGTAGGTGTGTTTGTTTTAGTTGGTCTTTGGTTTGCACATAAAGGGATGTGGTAAGTTATGTTATCTAATTAATATTTTTTGTAGCTTTATTTCAAGTTGAGATTCTTTACATTTATCCTACTGGTTTATGTTGGATGATTAAATGTCTTAACTAGGAGAATTAGTTTAATATTGGATGATTAGAATAGGGAATGGACAAGTATAAAGAACATTGTGCATATCATCGGAATCTGATTGTGATGTGTAGTAGTTCCATATTAGCTAAAGTTTTTGAAATCCTGTTATCTAGGATACCTCTAGCTCCTAAAATGTTAACATCTGGGTCTTAAGTTAGCCATCAGGAAATCTTAATGATATACTTTCTAACCAGTATGATTTCTTATACGTAACATCCTCCTATAGTCTCTCCCCTTCTCTTTTTTCTTCCACCCGCTTATGGAAAAATTGTTCATGTACACTCATACAGGACAATATGCATATGCATGCCCTTCTAACAATAGAAAATTGTCTTTCTGAGAATTCCTTAATTGTTGCTTTCCATTTGCTGAAACCACAGGCTCGACTTCCTGAAGCACGGGTTATTTATTGCTCTGCAACTGGTGCATCTGAACCTAGCAATATGGGGTATATGATCAGACTTGGCCTTTGGGGAGCTGGAACATGTTTCCCTGATTTCCAGAATTTTTTAGGTTTAATCTTTATACCCTCCAGTGACAGTTTTTTCCCTCTTTCATTTTTTTACTTTTTGATCTTGCAGTCATAGATGTTGTACAACCAAGAAAATTAATAAATTAAGGTCTTGTTGTGTCATAAAGAGAAAAATTAAGGGTGATGGTGAGGAAGAAAGTAAAATGATGACGGGGGAAGATTATTGTTTTTAGATCATGCTAAATTTTGGATATCTGTTGGGAAATGATTTCTCCTTTATTGTCTATCTTTTAATGATATTTCATCTGTATTTCTCAAATTACATAATTTTTTTTAAAAAAAAATTGGAAGTAGATATGGTGAATCTGTTGATTTTAAGCATTGAGTGCATGTCAATTTAAATTTTTTATTTTTATCCTTAATTTTTGAACTTTTTTTGAATGATTGCATTGATGACAGTTTATTCTTTCTGCATCATTTAAACAGATATTTTCGTATGCACCTTTCTGGAAATAGTTTATCTCAACTTACGAAAAGAAAAAGAATTGCCTGCTGCTGTCTATAGTCATTTTTACTCCATATAACTACATAGAAGGTTATACTACGAATATACTAGCATATTTACATGTACAGATAGGTTTTTGGCATTGCTTAATAATAGGCTGCAATTGAATCACTAGCATATCTCCAAACCTCGGTTGATGATTTTTCACATCATATCTGCCTAGTGCCTGCTTGAGATGTCTCCCACTGGTTAGAATATTTGCTGAACTTTTTTGTGAAATGAATATTTTCACAGTTGCTTTAGAGAAAGGAGGAGTCGGGGCATTGGAACTTGTTGCAATGGAAATGAAAGCAAGGTAGAAATAGTTGGAATATCTCTGTAAAATAGTTGCTAGATATATTCTTTGTTTCATACGCAATCTTCTTCCAAATTTCAGGGGAATGTATGTATGTCGCACCCTGAGTTATAAGGGAGTAGAGTTTGAAGTTATTGAAGCACCATTAGAAGCTGAAATGGAGGTATGTAAGTGTTTTTCCCATTTGCTTCCTAATGAAATTATTTTTTTATTATACCACTCTTTCCAAACGAGTATGCCGTAGATGCTTAAATTGATATTTATTTATATATGACCAATTTATAGTACATCGAAATTTTCTGGAAACATCTGTGACAAGTTATATTGTATGTTTAGTCTCTACAATTTGCTCTGATTGGTTCTGCTTTTGACATGTGTAGCCAAGGACAATTTTTTTTTATAGGATTAGGAGGCCTCATTAAAAACCTCCCTCTTAGTTGGCTCTTGAAAAGAGGCAGTTGGCTCTTAAAAAGAGGCAACTAGCAAAAGGAGGAAAATAGTACCTCAGTTTATTGATAATTCAATAATACATAAGATTACACCATTACACTTTAAACAACCATAAATAATAAACCCAAATAATACATCAATAAAACCCAAAACATTCATTCAATCCCCTCCTTAGCTAATTTATCTGCCTCCCAATTACAGCTCCTAGGAATCAGTCTAACAATAATCTCCCTAGCAGAAACTAAGGCCCCAATTTCCCCAACCCAAGAACTGCAAAACGAAGGGGCAGAAAATGGCAACAAAATCGAGTCAACTGTAGATTTGCAATCACTCTCTATGATCAGTCTTCCCTTCAATGCCCAGGAAGATGAAAGAAAAAAATCAATGCCTTTTTTAATGGCTTTCAACTCAGCCAAAGGAGGACCTGGACCAACACCATTAGAGAAAGTGGCTAAAGTACTACTATTACAGCCCGTTTGGTTCACGGATTTCTTCATTCTAGGAGGAATTTTTTTTCCCGGATTAAGATACCCATGTTTGGATATGCCATATTCCCAAGTGAGGGTGAAAACTAAATACCAACAGTGGTTTTTTTGTTCTGTTTAACTGGGAATCCAAATACCATGTCTCCCTTAGGTATTTGTTTATTCCCGTCCTCTGTTGGCTAAAATACCCTTCTCCCCGTTAGCTTGGTTCTGGCTGAAACAAAATTTCTTCTTCTTCAATTTGGCAAGAGTTGCAAAGATCTGTCCATTATTTCTCCAACAGACTTCTTCTGTGGTTCTCTAGCTCTATCTGCTAATATGTTGCTAGGTTTGTCTCTCTCTCTCTCCCTATTTGTAGTTTTTGTTCCTCCCCAGTAGTACTATTAAATCCACGCGTTTCTATTATTCACAGGTTACTCCTTCATCTTTGTCTTCTCAGTTCTATCTTGTCTAGCACTCGATCTTGAACTGGGCTTTGATGGGTCTTTGGTTTCGAGTTTAGTTATTTCGTTTGATTCATCGACTTGATGGTTGAATTTGAAAATTGGGTTTTCATGGTCTAGGGAAACAATTGTTCGCTTCCTTTCATGGTCTAGGGAAACAAAGGTTTAGGGTTATTTTGAATTATTTTCATTAAACGTAACTAATCATTTTTCTCAGTGGTTCTTTTGAGTTATTTTCCTAGCATCATATTCTATCCTTCCATTATTTAGTGGGTTTATTTGGGGGGGTTAAATGGAGGTCTTGATACATCACCTGGATGGAATTCAGGAGGTTGATAAGTCTTGGTTGAGCCCCGTTCTCTCCATTGTTGCATTTACATCATAACTTGGTTTCTGATAATTGTCTGTTAGAAAGCAAAGTTAATTCTTGGGTGAAAAACTGTAGTTGCAATTCTTGTTCAAGAGTTACACGGTTCCCTCGCTACAATGACCCATTAAAGGTATGAAGCTGTAATACTTCGTTCTACCATTATCTTCTTTTTTTTCTTTTCCTTATGTATGGGGTTCAAGTATCAATTGTTGAATTTTCTCCATTTCTTTTTGCAGCTTGTAGAAACAAGAAAGGGGCGTTGTGGAGAGTGGGCCAATTGCTTCACATTGTATTGTCGTGCTTTTGGCTATGACTCTCGTATGGTTAGTCATTTATATGTCAATTCAATCTCCAAATCCAACTGACTAAAACACAACTCTTTTATCGTTAAAAAGAATATGGTTAAGCTAATTTATAATAAGAAAGAAATTTGTTCCGACTGTTGTACTTGCAATATATATGTGTGGTATATATGGACCTGGAATTGTTATTATTTCGATCTGAAGCTTTTGATGACAGGATATCTGTAATATCTAGTCCATTAAATAGAAGGATTTGGAAATTCAGTGAAGATAAACCTTTTATTTGATATTAGGACTATGTTTGACCTGGATTATTTTGATTCTGTATTGTCTGCCAAACAAAGAACATGTACAAGATAGATTTAAAGAATTTTGAAATGGTATGTTTGTTTATGTATAATATTTTGATGTCTTTGACATTGTAAATGAAACCCATTTTTAGCTTTATAACTGAGTGGTTCACTGGTTCTTTTGCTGATAATTGTATAAATTGAAGTTATTGATTCTGCAATATATGAAATCAATATTTATGGTGGCATGGAATGTATCTAGAATTTTGTACTTTAACAGCAAATGCTTGCATAGTTGCATACATTTTAATTAGCTCTAGTTGTTTAAAGATGACATTCCATGGGACTTCGGATAATTTGCTTGCTTGAGATGTTTTATTTGTACCAACTCTTCATTTTAAGGTCCTTGATTTTACAGACCATGTTTGGACAGAGTGTTATTCAAAAGCCTTGGGAAGTTAAAAAAAACCCAAATTGATGCCTTTTAATCTTCAATTGGAAAGGATCCCTATTATGTAGCAAAGAGGCTAAACTATGTGGTCATTTCACGAACTAATTATTCATTCATTTTTGTACAGGTGGATGCATCTTGATCCTTGTGAAGCAATCTATGACATACCATTATTATATGAAAAAAGGTACTCTAATTTGTGTTATTATCCATTTTTCAGAAAAAATCTTTTTTTTGTCTTGATACTACAGTTATAGTAAATGCTTCTTTTCTACAAGTGGAAAAAGAAATTAAATTATGTAATTGTTATTGCAGAAGATGAGTTTATGATGTTACTAAACGTTACACACGGGATTGGAATGAGGTAATTATGATAAAAAAAATAGCACTTTATTGCCTCTAATGCTTATTACTTCTTATTCTTAGTATTGTTTATTTATGCATTGTTATGAAGAAACATGATTCTCTTCCCCAAACTAATTTTTTTGTTTATTACCATTTTTTCAGGTTTTGTCTCGACGAACCATTACCAGAGAGTCCTCTATGGTGTCTGCTCTCACTTCAATGACCAAAGAATGCCGAAGTAACTTTACATCTCAAATTCTTTCAGTATTGGAAGACCGTGACAAAATTGAAAGGGAAGCTCTGGACAGAGATTTACTTTCTACTGATGATGCTCCGATCTCTTTACCTGGGAGGCAAAGTGGGGATAAGCAATGGCGCATTGCAAGATCATAATTTGGGACTAACTCTCTGAGTTCATCTTCTTGTGAAGTTCGCATATGCAGAGACGAGCACGTCACAAAAATCTATAATGCATTTTCTTCTATACTTCATAAGTTTTTTGAATAATATGTAATTGCTTCAAAAGGTGTTGAAGTTCTCAAGATTCTTAGAGCAACCGTTGTAGATCTCAATAAATTACCGTATAAAAAAATGAGAGCTTCTTTAAAGTCAAACTCAATTGTTGGCACATCTTTGTTGCATCGGTTGCTGCCCTCCTTTAAGGAATTTCTTAATGCTCTTTCACTGAAGAGTTTTTTGTGTATATAATATAGTCAACATATATGATTAAGTTTAGAATGTCATGGTTATTATCTTTTGTAAGTCTGAACATTGTTGTTGCTTTTGATGGTTAATGTTATACTTATTTTTGTTCTGTAAGCTAAACAAAGAACGTAAGCTTATCTCTTATCCTTCAGTTTGCACTTTTACTTTTCATTTTGACTTTAGAACATTGTTGTTGCTTCCCAGTGTTTCTCATAAATGTTGCATCGTAATGGGTATCAAGAATACCACATGTTTTGTGTTCATCTCGCCCTATCTGCAAAATAAAATGAATCTGTTGTGTTGTAATAAAAAGGGTCTTGCAAATCATAGTTTCGAATTAGATGCTGAGTTATGGGGTATTTATGAAAGTTTGAAGCTTCCATGGGAAATTTAACTCCATACTTGTAAGATATTTCTGTTCAACATTAGAATAACTAAGTGGACAAGAGAAGACTGTCCCTTAATTATGTTTCGAACACCTATTTACTTCTCAATTTAATTCTTTATACCGGGTTGATCCTTATTCCATGTAAGACTGGTTTAAATTGTTTTACTATATTGGGATGGCAGGGCATTCCTAAAAAAGAGATTAATTTTTACCTCAGCAATGTTAAAAATAAAATTGGGAATGGTTGCTAATGCTCTGCTCCAAACATGGACAAAAGATTCAACAGTCAGATTTTCGAATCGAACTTTAATCTTCGGGAATTCCAAATCCACTATGCGACACCACAAACTAGAGCAAATTTTAAACAACAATGAAGACCACTCTATGAGAGAATAATAATAACAACCTCAATCAAGAACTTTAAAATAAAATGTTGAAATTATTGAATGAATAAATATAAATTTTAGCTTTTGTTCTGATTTAAAAAAATGTTTAAATTATAAAATTTAGCTTTTGTTATCTTTAGGAGTAAAATGGTTCATCTATTAAAATTTTCATATGCTTATTTAGTTAAATCATAATGTAAAATTTTAATATATTTTTAGATAATTAATGTAAAAAATAATATTATTTATAATTAAAATAATACATGATATATTTACTCTTTTATTCTACCCATTTATCTTTTAAATTTTATAAAAAAATTATATATAAATTTTATTAAAAAGTATATAAATTTAAAATAATAAAGTAATATATTTTTATGCTTTTTTATATGAATATTTTAATTTAAATATTTAGAATTCCACTTGTTAACACATATAGCACAAGGACAATTTGGTAAAATATACATTCCAGTAATCTCATATTCTTTCAACCAAACACTGTAATCATACATTCATGCCAAACAAGCCAAACACAGTAATGTAACATTCTCAGTAATCCTATTCCTTGGTAATCTTACATTCCCACTGGTAATCTTACATTCCGTGAACTAAACGCACCCTTAGAGTCTTTTAAAATTCCTCAAATTCCACCCTGCAACCCATCACTTATTATCGCCCCATCCACATTAAATTAAAAAAAAATCAGCTGGTGGAGGAAGCCAGCACTGGACCTTATTTTTCTTAAAGGTTTGACTAGGAATCCTGTCTGTAAGCGAGGGGTCCCCAACTAGTAAATCAGCCTGAATAAGAACATGAGGGAACTTAGCTAAAACCATTTAGCCAGCCTAAATCTAGAACATGAGGGAACACAATGGTCGATCTCCTGGCCAAATTGGTTGTATGCGTCAGTGTTGGATAACCTTCGTTCCTGGTTATGGTTTTGGATTTGGTTATGTTGCATGGTCATTGGGTGGTTTTGTTCTATAATTGTCCTGTGTTTTGTCTTATTGTTGAGTATGTGATGCAATGCTCAGGTGCACTCTTTTTCCTCCATTTAGGTGTAGGGAGGTTTTTTAACGAGGCCCTGGACTTAGTCGAGAACAAACCATCACCCTTCCCCACCATGCAAGAAAGTCATCCACTGAATCGGACAAAACTGTATTATCAAGCAAAGACATTAAAGCAACCCACTGCTCTAATTCCCAGTCGCATAAATTCCTCCTAGACTGAATGATCCAAACCCAACCATTATTTTCAAAGCAACCAAAATTGGTCACTTTACCCCATTTATTGTTAGATAAAGCAAAAATCATGGGGAATTGGTTTTTTAAGGTTGAATCATTAACCCAAACATCATTCCAGAAGGATATCGATTTACCATTCCTCACTTGGATCTTCGAATTAGACCTCAAACACTCTTCTATCTCATCATTTTTCAAATAGTTATTAACAATACCTTTCCAAATACATGAATCTAGAGGAGAAACTGCCTTGTTTATTGATAGAGACAAATAACTAACATTATGTTTGCTGCAAAGCATCTTTTTCCATTGAGTGTCCTTTTCATTTGCAAATTTCCACACCCATTTACCAAGCAACACTCTATTAACCGAATTCAGATCCAAGACTCCCAATCCACCCTCTTCATAGGGTTGACGCACCACCTTCCAATTCATCCAGTGAATACATTTCTTAGCTGGTCCTTCCCCTCGAAGAAATTTAGCTATCAAAGAGTTCAACTTCTGATTTACCTTGAGCGGAATTTTGAAAATATAAAGAAAAAAATGGGCAAGGAGGACAACATTGACTTCAACAACACCAATCTTCCTGCCATTGACAATGAAGATGCTTTCCACCCAGATAATTTGTTGTTAAACTTCTGGATGACCAGATCCTAAAGAATCTCTGAATTTTTCTTTGCACCTAACGGTAGACCAAGATACACCGTAGGAAAATATCCCACCCCACAGGCCGCCTCATTTGCCCTTTCGTTTAAGATGTCATCTTCAATATTAATGCCATACAAATAACTCTTAGAAAGATTCAAATGAAGCCCTGACATTAGACTGAAAATCCTCAATACTCTCCTAATATTTAGAATGTGAGTAGGAGAATATTGGAAAAATAAGATGATATCATCTGCAAACTGTAAATGTGTCAGCTGGAAATGATTATCAAGCCTACCAATAGTGAACCCTTCAAATATTCCAAGATCAGCAACTTTAATCAGTATTAAATTAAGAAGTTCCCTAACAATATTAAACAAAAGAGGGGAAATACTACATCCTTGTCTCAACCCTTTACCCATCGAAAATTCCTCTATTGGAGATCCATTCACTAAAACCGAGATTGAAGCAGAAGATAGACAATACTCTATCCATGAAATCCATATCTCACCAAAACCCATGACTTTCAATAATCTCAAGAGAATCGACCATTCTACCGAATCATATGCTCTACGAAAATCAACTTTGAAAACGACTCATTTCCTTCTTTGTTTCCTCCAATAATCTATGGCTTCATTTGCAAGAAATACACGGTCTAGCAGCTGTCTACTAGGAATAAAGGCAAACTGTGAAGGGCTTACTATGTCTTTAATAACTGAAACAAGCCTTTTCGATAAAACTTTGGAAATTATTTTATATAAACTACCAAAAAGGCTTATTGGTCTGAAATCTTCAATACCTTCAGGATTTAGTTTCTTTGGGATCAGTGTTATGAAAGCATGATTGACTCCATGCTCCCATTTCCTTCTACAATAAAAATCATCCACAAATTTCATAATTTGTAACTTAAGTGAAGGCCAAAATTTCTTGAAAAAACCCATAGTATAACCATCCGGGCCAGGGGCTTTAGCACTGTCCGAATAAAAATTTGCTTCCCACACTTCCTGTTATGAAAATTTAGCCTCAAGACCAGCCTTTTGCTCAGCTGAAAATTTCGCAAAGTAAAGATTAATGTCATCAACCTCCAACGTTGCTTTTGAATTATAATTTTTCTTGAAAAAATCCAAGACATAGGCCCTAATCTGATCCAGATATGAAATTTCCTCACCATCCACCTTCAACACCGAAATGGCATTAATTATATTCCTATTAAGGGCACATAAGTGAAAGAACCTTGTATTTATGTCACCTTCTTTTAACCATTTCACTATTGAATTCTGTAACCAAATACTTTCATCCATCATGTGCAATTTCCATAACTTATTCCTCGATAGCAGCAACTGGTCCCATTATTGTGAAAAAATCTCACTACTTGAAACTTTACTTCCAAATCATTTATTATGTCTTCCAATTCTGCAATAGATTCAGGTATCCCCCTTTGATTTCTGCTGGACCACTTCCTGATCACCTTTTTAGTTTCTTGTATCCTTCTTCAAATCATACATGGATTTTTCAACCAACACATCAAAACCATCTTCCTCTAACATGTAGTTAAATAATCGAAAAGGCTTAGGGCCCCAGTTTTTGCATTCTTCTTCTAACACAATCGGATTGTGGTCCGAGAGGGATTTAGGTAGAATTCTTTGGATAACTTTTGGAAAGCAATTTAAGAAGCTAGCACTGATTAAGAACCGATCGAGTCTTACCCAAGTGGTAGACTCTCTATTGTTGCACCAAGTAAATCTACCTCCTGCTAAAGGAAGATCCATAAGATTAATTTGTTGAACAAATGACCTGAACAGATCCATGGAATGCCAATTATGAGAAACTCCACTCTTCTCCTCTGGATCAAGATAAGCATTGAAATCTCCCCCTATGCAAACTGGCAGGTTTAAACTTTCTACAAAACACAACAACTCCCTGAAAAACTCCTCTTTATCAACCTCTACTAACGAACCATAAACATTTATTATAACACACTCAAAGTTTACCACCTTGAACTTCCCTGATTATGCTATGAATCTACTATGGTTATGTTCACTCCTAACTTCAAAAAAATTCTCATTCCACAAGCACAGCAAGCCACCTGCAGACCTATCAGTTGGATGAAAACTACCACCTTTCAACAAATTCCCCCCTAATTTCCTCCATAGCTCATTTTGACAATTATTTAGTTTGGTCTCCTATAAGAGTAGTAAGATCGGTTTATTTCTTTTTACAAGTCTCACCACTTCTTGAACTTTTTCTCTTCTCCCTAGACCCCTTACATTCCATGAAATAATTTTTAGCTTTGACATTGAAAAATTAAAGACCATAAAAACC